GTTTAATGGATTTGTATGAAATAAACAGACCTTTGGCTTTGCCTGCTGGGCAGGTGACTTCCAACTAAATGAGTTTAGACAGTATTTCCTAATAAGAAACGTTCCTTTTATTTCCCATACTCCACAAAGCCCCCTGAGAATTCAAAGACTCGCACTCACCCCCAAACAGAATGATGCTATCAGCTGCACACATATTCCCACCTGAAGCGAAAGTGGGTACGTGGCATGGTCGGTCAAACGTGCACATGCATTTGTAGTTCCAGCTCTACCATTTGTTTACTTAACAAATATGTACTGAGGTGACAAGTAGGCATTATGGATACAGTGGGGAAAAGACCGGCCTTTGTGCTTGAGATGCTCTCGGCACGGTGGACAGACAGGTGTTTTGACAGGATGAGATAAGAGCTGGAGTGTAGACCCACCAAGAGGAATCGTGGGGGAGGGAGTGTCTAAAACTTTCTGCAGAAGTCAAGGATGGCAGCATGAGCTGAGACACAGTCTCTCTGAATAGCCTCCATTTCTTCATCTGAATAGGCTTAACAATAGTACCTCGCTCACAATGCCAACATGAAAATGAAATGTAGTCATGTATGTAAAGCACTCGATTCAGAGCCTGGCACACAGGAAAGGCTCAATAGTGTTAGCCACTCAGATTAGTATTAGCAGCAGTACTGAGTCCCCAGGTATGGGTGCAGATGAATAGAAACGATTAAGCAAAGGATATGATTTATCATTCGTTTTCCAGAACCAAGTCCTGACGTTAAAGCTAGGGTAGTTTGGTTGTTAGGCGAGAGCCTCCTACTGGCCAATTATGGAATTGCACCTCTACTCTATTAGACGCTGTATTTCTAGGGAAAAAGAGAGCTCTGTGTGCATGAGCTGTGAAGATGGAGGCTGGGAGACTCAAACCTGGGAGAAAGCAAGGGGAGATGGTGAGAAGGGCTGTGCAGCATCCTTAATTGGAACAGGGCTTTGATAGACAACCGCGATACCCAGGACGTCAAGGGTCTGACAAGTCTTTTGACATCTGTGTTCAAAGAAGTCTTCTGAAAATGAGGTTCCATCTTCTCGCCCTGCCACGCCCCACAATCTAATGATGGCAGGTTACAAAACAAATGCAATTCATGTTTCTGAAATTCACCTTAGCGTGCGTTTTCCTGGAAAGCTGGCTTAAAGGCAGTCACGGTTACTTCTTTGGCAGGAAAGCACAAGTATATTCCAGAGGCCACAGAATAAAAATGTTCAAATGTCTACAGCAGGCTGTCCCGTAGAACTCCCTGTGATGATAGATGTGTCCCATACCTGCTGCTCTGACTAATATGGTAGCCAATAACTACGTGTGGCTAGTGAGTTCTTGAAATGTGGCTAGTCTGAATGAGGAAGTATATTTTCAATTTAATTTGATTTAATATAATTGACATAGCCACCTGTGACTAGTGGCTGCTATACTGGACAACATAGACCCAGGGACGCTGATCATGTACACTTTCTTGAGTCTAGTCTATAGCTTTGGCATCTTCTGCTACAAACTGGACAAACCATGAGGCAAAGTGTCTAAGGCGTAGTAGGGCCTGGCCACTTCTTCCTATTATTCTCCCTGCTCCCCACCCTACTCCTAAGGGATCTGCAAGGCAAGGCCTTCCGCAATGTTCAGCCAGAGGTCTCCTACACCCCAAGGAGATAATCCCATTTGCTTCAGCCAATTTCATCAAGCTCACCCGATTTACCCAAAGAATCCAATCCATTCACGATGTTTCTGGAAGCTGAGGCTGACCCCACTGCTAAGATAATGCCCTTAGGGCCAGAGAGGAGGCTGCTGGGCTTTACACATGTTTTGGGCCATTTTGGGCCCACTGGGCTGAGTGGGCAGTGGAGGCCTCATCACAATGGCCCGCTTTTCCCTTTAAAAGGATCGGGCCTGTGTAATCTATTCATTTCCTTCCAAGCCAGGCTCTGTAAGCTCATTCATGGAGGATGAGGAAAGGAAGCCGGGGAGGCGAACACATGTACAGAAAACAAACAGCGCTGGCTCGGCAGCTCCCTGTTGTGGGGGTGTGTGTGGGGGGCGCTTCAGGGAGAGGCGATGGGGGGTGAAGCGTGGTCGTGGGGGTCTGGCTGGGGAAAAAGGCTGGGACTCCCACTGCTGCTTCTCCCACTTTCTCCAGGAGCCCTGCTCGGCCGTGTCTCCTGAGCCTCCATCTTGGTAGGCTCTTATCTCTCTCCATTCAGCTGTCTCTTTGGGAAAAAAAGCAATCAGTGAGAGAAGGCCAGAGTGGCAGCCGGCAAAGAGGGAGCTGGCAGCATGGAGCCAGTTCCCTGGAATCACCTCCTGTCCTCTGCTCCCATTCTCACCAGATAGGGCACGCGGGGCTCCCTGGGTTCCAAAGAGAGTCCCAAGTCAGCTGAGCTGCTACATCAGTCCAGCTACAGAATCAAAAGGGCCCCAGCATTTGGCTCCAGTGGGCGATTTGCATATGATTTGCATACATCTGCATACCCCCCGCCCGAGACCTTCAGTCAAAGGATGTGAAATGAAATAAATTAATTAGTGCAGCCTACCATAGCCCAATATGCCAGGCCTAACACCCGTAAGAGACATCACTGATTCTTAAAGCAATCAATGTGATCACAGGCTAGGGCGAAGAAAGACGGGGTCAGGGTTGGTGGGATAAATAGAGATTCTCAGCATTGGGGGTGGAGAAGGAGAGGGAAAGTGCCTGTCTGAACTGGAAGTTGGATATTTTCCTTCTGCCCCAGCCCCCACTCCCATCCCCAGAGGACATAGAGTTGAGCCATGTGGAGGCCTGTTCCTGGCTTCCTACACCTGGGCCTGGCACTGATGTTGTCCCCCCGCCTAGCAGCGACCTCTGCAGAGAGGTTTTTACCACTGGAATAAGGTGACATTCAATTTCAAACAAGTGTGAGGATACTTACTCCAAGGGCTGAGAAGGCAGTGAGGTGCCCACCGGTGTTTTCCTGTCTCCAAGCTCCCTCCGCCCTTCACCCCCGTTTACTGTTCCCATTTGGGTGTCGACATTTCTCTCTGCCAGCTGGGCCGGTCTTTCACTACCCCTCCCTCCAATCCCATTTACGGATGGCTAAGAGAGAGCTGTGGGCCCATCGTCAGCCGTGAGCTGGAGTTAACCTATCCCAGTCCTTCTGCCAATTAATGAGATGCTTACAGCGTGTGTCAGCCAAGCAGCAACCATATCATGTAAACACGTCTCTTAGTGATTCAGCTCATGGCACTATTTAACATATGCCTTGACTTTCTCTAAGCCCATCGATCTATCCAGGACGGAAACCTCATCGAAAGCTGGGGCCCCGCAGGGCACCAAAAGTTTACACCTGTGGGGCCCGGGCTGCCGGGAGAGCTGGGGTGGAGGGCCCTAGAGGTGATTCTAAGTGGGAGGGGCTACAATGCTAAGACGGAGAACAGCAATTTTGGTTAAAAGGAGCCCAGGTCACAGCCAACAAATTAGCAGCCACCAGCTAATGATGAATCAAAGACCAAAAACGCAAGAAGGAACAGCAAGGACCAGGTGGTTCACAGCAAGACTGGACCACGAGCAAGGGATTGAGGGGAGAAGTTCTGAGTCACGGCCGTGAATGGTGAGTGTGACCAGCAGGTTTCATGCACTGCGTAGTGGACGTGGACATAGCTTGAAGGAGCAAAGGAACCGGGTTCAGATGCCTGATCACCAAGCTGTGCCCACCCCACCTGCCCCTCCATTCTCCATCCCCCACACTTTCTCCTTCACGCTCCACTGAGAGCAGCTCCAATCGACTGTGTCATCATTGATTTCACTTGAAGAAAGGGTGATGCAGCTTACAAAGGGGAGAGAAGTGTTATTTCAGATCAGGGGTTGGCAAACTATCACCCAAATTTGACCATATCAGCCTACAACCTGTTTTTGTCTGGCTTTCGGGCCAAGAGTGGTTTTCAACCTTTTTTAATGGTTGGAAAAAAAAAAAGAAAAAAGAAGAAGAACAGTTTGTGACACATGAAAATTACATGAAATTCAAGCCTGGCCTCCGTGAATAAAGTTTTATGGGAACCCAGCCATGCCCTTCCATTGACACCATGTCTGTCGCTGCTTTCACACTACATTAGCAGAGCTCAGTAGTTGCAACAGAGACCATATGGTCCCTGAAGAGGAAAATATTTACTATCTGGGCCTCACTAAAAAATGTTGCCAACCTTTGTTTTAGATCATAGAAGGGGCGTTGTCCGCCTAACCCATTCCCAAGATGGTGGTACCCTGCTCTGTGCAAACATGGCGTCCATGGCAAGAAGAACATCAATGCCACTGGGCCTTCTCCTGAGCCCAGCCAGCCCCAACGTCCTTGTGGCAAAGGGAGATCAGCCTGGGATGTCCAGTCCAGACACAGGAAGGTTTCGATCAGTGCCTGAAAACACCAGCTCTTGCACCCAAGACCCAGAGCTGGTCCTCCCGTTGCCAACACCTGGGCCCTGGGCAGGTGGGCAAATGCACATCTCCAACAACATCCCTTCTCAGACGTAAACTTTGCCAGGCACCAGGATTAGTACAATATGTCATCAGATGAGAAGGCCGACTAGCTCTGTAATTCGATTTTGAAGAAAGCAGGAAGCCGTCCTGTTCTTCTCTCCCCTGCCAAAAACATTACCCAATGTCTCATACCGGAAACTCCACCTTTGACATTTCTTAGTTGCTACACTGCAACCAGGGCCCACCGTGTTCTTGGCAACTCATACTGGGTACTAGTGGGGTTCCCTGAGCATAGCGGCATATGAGGCACACAGGACACCAGAGCGAGGCAGATCCTAAGAGCAGAAGAGAAGGCAAAGCGGTCTTGGAGGAGGGTTTCGGCGGAGGATGGGGACCTGGCAGAGAACAGCTCAGGGCTGGGTTAGGGCTGAGGTCACAGCCACGCCTGGGAGGGTCTCCAGGGGAGCTCTGGGGACTCTACCCTCAGCCCTGGCTGTGGGCAAGGAGGGGACAGTTGTGGCCACTTACCCGGTACCACACGATTTCGCGCATGCGACCATCCGTCTTGAAGTTACACTTCAAGGTCACGGCATCTCCGGCCACCACGGGTGGGAGAGGCTCGATGTTGACAGTCAAGTAGCCTACGGGAAAAAAGGAGAATGGGGAGTTGAGGGCAGGAGGTGATCAGGAGGGTTAGGCGGACCTGGATGGGGTGGTGAAGAGAGCTGACACGACTGTAGGGGGCGCTGTTCGCATTGCAGTCTATGTGATTGGTGAGTGGGCTTCATTGGAGCACATCACCCTCTTCTTTTCTCACTGACATCCCCCTTTCTGGGAACCTCCCTGGCTCCCGTGGAGCCCTCCAAATCTGAACACACCTCTTCTTGGGATGAACTGTCCTGTGAAAGTGGGACCTGCTGGCACCGGCAGAAAGTGCCTCAATGTATTTCTATCAGATTTCCCAGAGAAACCATTCTGTGTGGTCCAACACTACGCTTCCATCCCCTCTCTTAGAGAGTTGCGATATATGTTAGTTAGCCTGTGAAGCCCTACAGGAGATAAACATGTGAAAATGCATTTAACTTAGTGTTTCCAAACCTATTTGACTAGAGGGCCTTTCGCCATCCCCTAAACTCCATCAGCATCCTATGCAGCCAGAGTTCTGTGAAACCCACACTGGGATATAGTGTCCTAGGTGCCCAGACCCATCCATTCCCAGCCTCATAACCAAATTAGTCCTGGTGAAAAGAAGGAGAGTCCTGAGGAACTGCTGTTGATTTCCTGGACCCCAAATCTCCAATTACATACCTTGTTGCCCAAGGGGAGAGGCAGTTCCAACCCTGGGCCGTGGGGGCGGTGATATGGTGATATGCGTGATTATGGGCTGACTGCCTGGGAAGGCATCTCAAACCTCCGCACGCACCAAATGTTGCTTCTTGCCTAGCTGTCCCAGGAACCCCTGGGACTCTTACCCTGGTGCCACGCCCTGGGGAACACCGCTGCCTCCACACCAGGTCCAGCCCAGGGAAGCCTCTGACCCTCTCCGCTGCCTTCCAGAGCCCCGTCCCAGAGGGCTGGGTGCCCACTGCCGCTTGGTGGGGGACTCCTTCTTGGGCTGATCATTCAGCCTCATCTGATTGGCTTCCCACCAGTGAATGTCCAGCCATCGATCCGATGGATCAATCCAGTCCAATCGTCTTAATGAGAAAACTAGCCAGGATGGGTTCGGGAATTTCAATTGTGCAGGCAACGTGAGCAGATCAAGCCCACGGTCCCGACCCCTGCTTGGAACTTAATGGTTACAACACGCAAAAACAACAGCAAGAATCGACCTCGGGAGGATCAGTGTGGAAGCTGAAGTCAGGCTCGACCTTTATGGGCCAAGACTTCAGGTCGCAATGCCCAGAGTGATGGGTAAGGTGTGACGGCTCACATATGTTAGCCTCTAACACAGGCTAGAAGCCAGGCTCACGGAAGCCCCAGAGCCTGTGTGGTCTAAGAGACCAGCGACCAGAGCCAGCTGGAAGGACAGATCTTCTGCCTCCTCTGCCTCATTCATTCAGCCCCCAAGTATGCTCCCACCTGCTCTGAGCAGGCCCAGGGCTAGACCCAGGAAGCAGGATGCTTGAGCTGTCCTGCCCTCCAGAAACACACAGTAGGGGCACGCATTCACACTCAGTGGGGTGAGTATAATGGTAGGATGAAAATGGGGGTCTGTGGGAGGGGAGAGGGGTAACATGGCCCAATCTGGACGATCAGGGAAGTGCCCAAGCCCAGCCAGGTCTGCCCTCAGGAGGACGAACCCCAGTGACAGAGAGGACCCTGGGGCAAGTCAAGCCCCAGAGTGAAATAGTGATATTGGCTCACATTTCCATGGCACCCACTCTGAGCCAGGCGTTGGGCTAAGTGCTTAACACACACGTCCCCATTTCATCGTCACGACCATCCTAGGAGAGAGGAGCTAGCATTATTCCCACTTTCCATGGGGAAACAGAAAAGCGAAGTGACCTGCCAAGATAGCACAGCTGTAAGTGGCAGAGCTGGAATTCGAACCCAGAACTTCTGTTAGGCAATACCCAGTCTCTCTACTGATGAGAGGCGTGAGGAAAGGGCCAGCAAATCTTTCCTATCTAGCCCTGAGGAGGAGGGGGTGTGCAACTTGGGGGGCCACGGAAGGAGTCCAAGACCTGATCCCATCTGCTACCATTCCCAGCCTGGGGGTGACCTCTTGGCTCATGTTTCCAGTGGGGCTGCCCTCATCTGGGTGGAGGTGGGGGGAGGAGGTGTCTCACCTTTGACGCTACAGCTAAGAGCTGAGCATTATCAGTCCAGATGGCTGAGGAGCTCAAGCCCAGAGAAGGGCCTCCTCTGACCAGATGGAGGCGGGAAGGATACATTCTCAGAGGCATAAATCTTCCAACCAGCCCAAGGCGGGTGCAAGTGGTGAGTGCATGTGAGGCAAACCAGAACAGGATGGAGGTGTCAGCTTGTTGGCAAGCCACGGGGGAATTACAGGTGTGAGTCCGGTGGGGTTGCAGGAATGGTTGCATGTCTGGTAACTGATGGTAGTGCCAGGAGAACCAGTGGCTGTAACAGATGTCTGGGGCAATGGGACTCACAGGGGCATGCCAGACCAAGAGCAGAGAACAGTCATCCCACTGCACAGTGGAGAGAGGGGGTCCTTGGGACCCCTGAAGAGCAGGGAGAATGAGAAGGTGGGTGCATGAGGGCGGTGGCTCTGACGCCTTAGCACAGCATTGCCTGAGGTGTGTAGAGAAGAAGGAACTTCTGACAGATATTTCAGGCAAAAAGATTTCTATTACCAACTAAGTGTGCCAAATATTGGGTTAAACAAAACGATCCAGGTTCGTTTCCTTCAAGACTTCTCAAAAATGTTCTCTCTTTCTTTTTTCCTGTCTTGCCTTCATTTGTGAAAAAATATTTATTGAGAATCTATTCAGTGCGAGTCAGCATTCTGGGCATCGGGGACACAAGTCCTGCTCTCATGGAGCCGGTATTCCAGCAGAGGAGACGATACTCAAATAAACAAACAATGGGAAACACGTCAGGTGGTGGTCGTGTAATGAAGGGTAATGGGGGTGGGGCTCCTCTGGACGGGGTGGCCAAGGGGACCTCTCTGAGGAGGCCCGAATAAAGGAGAGGGTGAGCCACGTGGGTAAGTAGCGGGGAGCATTCCAGAGGAGGGCGCCACACGTGCAAAGGCCCAGAAGCTGGAGTGTGCTCAGAGAGCTCCATGATTCTCCAAACTGGGGTCACGGTAGGAGATTTTTTTGTAACACTACACATTCTGGAGCCTGTCTTTGGCTGAGCATCTCGTAGGACTAGAACTAGGGCCGAGAAGCGTGTGAGGCAAGCGACACGCCTAGGGTGCAAAATTAAAGGAGGCCTGCATGCCCACTGCAGGACCCTGAGTCCTGCTGGCCTCCCCCTCGTCGTGGTCCTGCTAGAGTCCATTGCAACAAACTTTAGGAAACACCTCGCTAAGCTGAGGCAGAAGTGGCTGTGTCTCCTGTTCCCTGAGGTCCCCTACTTGGAGCCACAGCGGGTGGGGGCAGGGTGGGCCGCTCCTAGCTGAAGCTCCTCCTCATCTCAGCCCCCGGGGAGCTGGTGGAGCAGCTCCAGGCTGCAGAGCAGGTAGGTGGCTCCGCTCTAAGGATTGAGACCTCCTGCCCTGGCACAAGGCGTTTTCCAGCTTTCCTAGCACTTTTGTCCCAGGTTCTCATCGACCTGCGCACGCCTTGTACGATGCTGCGATCACTGCGTATGTCACACTGGAGTGTCATTATCTGTTTGCACATCTGCCTCTCCTGGAATGTGAGTTCCATTACTATCGGTAGAGCATTAAAATCAGAGTTGGACAAGTGCTGCTTTTTGAGCTTTCTTATGCGCCCGCAGTCTCGGGCCTCACATCACCCTGTGACCATTCCTGTCACAGAGGAGGGACTATGGTTCAGGGCTGTGAAGTCCCTTGCTCAATGCTACGGCGATGTAAGTGGCAAAGCTGATTTGAACCCAGATCTGCCCGACTCTGAAGCCAACCTCTTTCCACCACCACCTGCTACCACCGGGAGCAGAGATATGCAAGGTGCTGAGGTCATGAGGGAATTCTGGGATTAGCCCCTCCCCCCATCCTCACATTCGCCACCGCACTGACTGCATCTACATCGGCGGCTTGGCTCTCAGATGGGACAGGATGGCCAATACCGGGGCCGCAAGGGCAGACCCAGAACTGCACAGAGAGTGACAGAGACTATAAACACAGAGGTCTGGGGTTGAGATCAGGCTCAGGGAGGGATGGTGGACAGAAGGGAGACCCCACTCCCTCAGGACTTGAGAACACAGCCTCACAATGACCTGTGGGCTCCCCACACCTCTCCTATCCAAGGCCAGACAAGCCTCAGGTGATGCGTGGGCTCCAAGCCTCAGGTCCGGAGGGAGGGTTACTGGCTGGGACAGGGAAGGGGCAAGATCATATTCTGACAGATGTACCAGGCGAGGATTGCATCAGGGCCAATCAACGCCTGGATCCCAGGTGAGAAATCACCCTCCCAGACACAGACACACACAGGAGAGTGCACAGCAAGGGTTCATGGCCAAGGAGTTGTTTGTAAAAGGAAAACATAGGGAAGTTCTTCTCTAGGTCCCACTGACATGCCTCCAGCTCAAATTTCACAAAATTCCAACATCTCCAAAATCTGTGCATTGCTTCTTTCTCTGAAAATTCCCTCTCTCACTTCCCTTGCTTCTCCCACCCACGTGCCTCCAGCAAATTTCAAGTCAGTTATCTGGTTCAAGTTTCTCTCTCTACCGCTCAGCAGTGACCTGGGCAAGGGACTTGGTCCCCACGGGACTCAGTTTCCCCATGTGGAGCGTGGACACGGGAACAATCGCAGGGTCCAACACCTATCCTTGGAGCATGTCCTTGGGCTGCGTTCACCATGAGCCGGTGCGCAGGCGGTGCCCCTGAGCGGGGCGGGGCAGCACCATGCTTCCCAGCCCCCAGACCTCTGCTCTCTCCAGCTTCCTGCTGTTCAGTTGAGGAAGGACAGTCTGGGATGGAGGTGGGAAGAGGGAGATCTGACATCTGGGGGCTGGGCAGGGAGTAAAGACTCAGACAAGA